TCGTTAGTAAACTTGATCGACTTCAAAAGTCGCGAGGGAAGGGATTGCTGTACCTTGCTCGCGATAAAAACATCTCAGGCAGGAACCGCAGGAGGGGGGCCAACCCCCCCCTCCCATGTGACTCCGGTTGGGTCGTTAGCTGGCAGAAGTGGAGGATAGGGGCCAGAGGGGCAGACGACAGAGTCCNTTGCTCGCGATAAAAACATCTCAGGCAGGAACCGCAGGAGGGGGGCCAACCCCCCCCTCCCATGTGACTCCGGTTGGGTCGTTAGCTGGCAGAAGTGGAGGATAGGGGCCAGAGGGGCAGACGACAGAGTCCAATGATGGGAAAAAAACAAAAAAAAAATAAACAAGCGCGCTCTCGCCCCCTTTGTGCTCACTCCACTTTTGCACCATCAAAACCTGACGCGGGAGTCAGTCAGTAATCAGACTTCTTCGTCCTGAGGCACACATCAAGTTGCACCCGCGCTCGAAGTGTACCCTCTGTGTAGGCTGCTGTACAACCACAGCTGCTGTACAGCCACAGCCTACGAAGCGACCGCTGCACACAGCACACACCCGCTGCTGCAGAGACGCTTATCCCCCGAGAGGTTATGAGCCTCGCATGAACGCCAACACATCGAGCTGTGGACAAGACAACGAGTTCTGCTACCGGACCTCCTAGCTTCACCAGGCTCCTGTGCTTCAACCGCGGAGACGATACAGCGGGAAACGGTTCAGCTTTTGGTTCAGCTTTCGGTTCAGAGATCAAGGAGATACGAAGTCGAGCCAGGACGAACGAGCTCCGACCGAGGAAGACGAGTATGCGACATACGGTTTCACAAACACAATACAGGGGCTTCACACAGTGGGAAGGGCTCCTTCAGTGCTGTAATCACCAAGACGTTTGCTGGAAACAAGGGCTCATACACAGAGCAGATAACTGCTGCATCACCAGCAGGGACGGTCCACACCGTAGTAATATACACCCATACGCAAGGAGAGGGTAAACAGGAGCGGGGCCGGAAAAGGGCGGCCTACAACCGTAATCCTTTTGAGCAGGAGCGGGGTCGAGACGGTCTGCACCGTAGTCCTATACACCCAATCGTAACGAAAGGGTAAGCAGGAGCGGGACCGGAAAAGGAAGACCTACAACCACATTCCCATTGACTTGAGCAGGAGCGGGGTCGGGAATGGACGACTACAACCGTATTCTTTTGAGGAGGAGCGGGGTCGAGACGGGCTGCACCGTAGTCCTACACACCCAACGAGAGGGTAAAAAGGTGCGAGGCCGGGAAAGGACGACCTACAACCGCAATCCTTTTGAGCAGGAGCGGGGTCGGGAAAGGACGACTTACAACCGCAATCCTTTTGAACACGAGCAGAGTCGGGAAGCCTCGGGTTCATACCACGAGCACACAACTCCTACGACGGGAGGGACAGCTGCAACAGACAGCAGGGAACATCAGCATCGTCCTGCACACCACACGGCAACAGGAGCGCATCACGTTAGAAACGACATACCACGATGGGTGATTATTCGCCCGGCGACAATACCTCTAGTCTAATCTCGCCAACACTATTCGAGGGCTGAAGAAGTTCGACGGAAGGAACCCAGCTGATTTCAAGGACTGGATGAAAAGGCTCTGCGTCGTCCTGGGAGTTCCGCGCAGGGACATCCTTCCACTGCTGAAAGGCCGGAGTAGGCCCACGGAAACGGATGATGACTACGCCGCCTACTGCAAGTCGAACGAGGACCTGTACGCCATACTCTACCTGCTCGTGGAAGTACCGGTGTCCCTTTCGGTACAGAAGCACGAGGACGACAGCGAGATCAGCGGAGACGGTCAGGCAACCTTCAAGGAACTGAACTTGAACTACAACAAAGTTACGGACGAAGTGATTCGAGCAACCTTGGAGAAGCTGATCAACACAACCATGGAACCCGGGCAGAACCCGGACGACTACTTCAACCAGAAGCACCTCCTACGACGCAAGGCTGAAAAGATGGGATCGTTTCCGCTACTTCAAGGACATGTGCGTCACCGGCTTCACCAATGAGTACAAGCACGTCAAGATGATCATGTACCGCGACCCAGACTTCAACGTCGACAAGATGCAAACCACCATGCGTCACGTGTTCCTTGACGAGTAATCTCGCAAAGGGCCGAAGGACAGCATCGCTGGGCGCGGTTTCGCCATGACCACCACTACCTCAAAGGGATCGACTTGTTTCGACTGCGGATAAAAGGGACACATCCGGAGGAACTGCCCTGAAAGGCAAGGCAAGGGAAAGAAGAAGACCAAGCCAGCCGGAGCCGCCAAGTGGTGTTCGGTTCACTTCACGACCAGGCACTCCGACGAAGAATGCTTCGAGCAAGGAGCGACGCGGCCGAAAAATTCCAGCAACACGGGCAAGGCCCTTTCCGCATGCGCTAGTTGTGCACACTGCTCCTCCACCGGCAACAAAACGGAATCAGCCATGACAAAGAAGGAGGCAAGCAGTACAGAAGCCGAAATCGACTTCAGGTCAGCAGGGGAATCAAAGGAAGGATTCATATATCCGCCATCGTCCACAAAAGGAAGGAGCTCGAGCCCATGGCTACCGGAGCCACCCCGCTGGGGGCGAGCAGCACGAACGCCGAAATTGACTTCAGCGTAGATAGCGAGTCAGAGGATACATTCATGTACGCCACCGCTCACAAAGGGGGAGAGTTCAAGCCCAACGCCGCCGGAGCGACTCTGCTGATAGACACCGGAGCATCCCGAGAATGTGCTCGATGACCGCCTCATCCCAGGTCTGAGGGAACCAATGTGGGAATTCAAAAACCTCGCCAAACCCAAGGTGGTCGCGGTCGGCGGCGATCACGAGCTGGACGGAAACGCTACAGGACTCATCCATTGCATCGTCAAGGACAGTGGCGGCGAGAAACAGGCCGTGCTCCTGCGAGGAATACTTGTTTCCGGCCTCGGACGCAACGTCTTCTCGCCTACCGCGCAGATAAAGAACGGCGTCAAGCTCGTCATCGAGGAAGGCAACCCGCACCTCGCGGTAGGAGGTCACATTTTGCCGCTACAACAGGATTCGCGCAACATGGGTATGTGCTCTCTTGACATAGAGTTCCAAGCCGCCTCCGAGCAAATGACAGCGCCCATGAAACCAGCATCTCACGAACTTCAGGACGATCGGGGGTTTGGCAAGTCGGACACAGTGACGGCTGATGATGACCTAGTGGTCGCGTACGAAGCCGCGGACATATATCACTTCATGGGACAGTCGTCATTGAAAGACTGAGCAAATATATAGTGGCTGGCATTTATTTGTAAGTTGTCGCGGGCGGTGGAGACTACTGTACGAGTTTGTACTCCGTTCGTTTTACATGCGCGGGAGTGCGGCGGGATTACGTAAATAGTCTAATCAAGAAGAAGTCCTGTCTCTGGTACCTTTGAGATCTGTCACCCACGAGTATCATTACTTCTGCCTTGTTCCAAGCGCTTCTGAAGTGGTACCACAGGAAGAGATCCTTCTTGCCGCTGAAAGACCCTCCACACCACTCACCTCTTGTTGAAGCACGTCATCAGGAACGCGCGTAATTGTCAGGACATCATGATGATGATGTCGAAAGACCACAGGAAGAGCAGGCGAAAGATGTGTTGGGTTTCGTGAGCTACAGTGCTGTAGTGCATTAGCGATCAGCACCGTCGGGCAGCGCACTAGCACTGCTGGTGTCAACGTGCGCCAGTACCCGGTTTCGTGTACCAGCAGGGTTTTCTCGGTAATGATCGGGGATGCACCCGATGGTGTTCCTATTGCCGAAACCGTACTCTCAGATAATCCGCGATCTACTGAATAGATGACAACATCTACGTCGCACGATGCCGCCCAGGAGTTGGTAGTGTTGGGACAGTCTACATGTACAGCTTCGAAAAACTGCCTGCACTCATCCAACTCGAGTGCAGATGAAATTTCCTTGAGATTGACATCTGCTGAAGAACCGGCCAGCGTCAGGGGGTGGAAGAGGGAGTGAGTGAGTGAGTGTGTTCTGAGCGAAGGGGGGAAAGATCGGCAACACCGGAAGTGCGGGACAAAACCACGGTAGATGTCTGATTTACAATCTCTCCATTTACATGCGGCGGGATTTCATGGTCTACACTAAGCGGGCAGAGGCAAACCATCCTGTTCTCGGAGTATTGTGAGGTGAGATGTACACATAACTTTGATACATCTCCCTCATGGGAGGATGGATATGAACTCGCCACTAGTAGCATGGGTTTATAGAAACATCCACTGAAGTTAATGGAACCAACTACACCGTTGTCTCAAGCTTCGCTCACTGACGTTTCACTTCTCATCATTTCAACACCACCACTATTTCTGTTCAAAACAATAGGACTTATTGGTGGCGAGAGTGACATTCCACAGCATTGTGTGGGATAAGTTGCCCAGGTGAACGTGGAACCAACCACCGTGTCTAGCTTGCTTATGAAAGAATGTTAACCCTACGAAGTGAAGTTTTGGAGCCATCCAAGAACAAGCCCTCTTCCGAACCGTGTTGTTTTCATTGTCTAGAAAGCGTCTCGTCGTGTGTTGCCTCCATTTTTTACTATCGCTAGTTGCGTTCGAAGCATAGGATGTCCCTTAGTGTATGTTGGCAATTCCGCTTTCTGGTGACAATGAGCTCTCCTACCGTTCCATGTGTCTTCGGGGATTCTGCTCGGGTGTGCGGTTTGATAATGTTGTTCGTGTGTTTGGATACGGACTGGTAGATCTGCCGACAATAACGGGAACACGCAGATAGGGGCAAAGGTATACCATGACGGCTACTATGCGGTGGAACCTGTCCGGTGGAACCTCTCGGGCTCTCTCAAGCTTATCGGGACCTCACTCTTCCTCCGCTCCCCTTTCGCGTGCTTCATACAATAGGTAAAACAAATCTCCCCCTTCCAATGAAAGGACATACAAACGTACGAATACACATCAAACGTACGAATACACATCCCTCGAGGGAGTCCATTAGGAAATGGCGGACCGCGTAGCCGGGGAAAATATCCCTGGCGGACCGTCGGAGGGAGACCAGAGCTCGGCAGAGCTCACGAGCCTCAAAGCGGATGTAGGCTCGCTCGCAGAGCAGCTCGGCAAGTTGACGCTACTGGTAGGTGAGCTAACACGGAAGGAGGAGGAGCCCAGCGACGCCAGAGGGAGCGACGCTGGCCGCGGTGACGCTAGAGAGAGCGCCGCCGCGGCGTCTGCAGGAGTCCAAGAAGGGGCATCGCAGACTGGGAGCGCGCAGGACGACATGTACCTGCGCGAACGTTTCGGAGACTCTGGTCCGGAAGGACGACACAGCGGCGAAGCAGGGGGCTATGTCCCCCAAGAGGTGAGAGTAGCCGCTGCTCACAACCCAGGTGGTTTAAGTAGTACCGTAGGAGGTGGTGCTGCTGCTGGCTTTGCCGGCGGCTTCGGTATTCCTGTCGGGAGTGCAGGATACCAGAGCGTGAGGTACTCCTCACCCCCGTTTGACGGGAAAGCAAAAACAAGAAAAAATCATGGCTTCAGTATTTCTGCCTGATAGCAAATGGAGCAAACCTGTTGGACCACCTTCAGCAGGGGACAGTGGAGATCCCCGTGAAAAGCGGACGAAGCAAGTCGTCATTGTGCCAACAATACCCAGCCGAGCAAGTTGAGCTCGCGTTTCACGCGTGGAATATTCTGAACCACGCTCTCATCAAAGAGGACGACAAAAAGACGATGAAAGAGGCAGAGACGCCCCAGGGGGCCATCCGGGAGTTAATAGGAATGTACGACTTGGATTCGTTCATGGCATTTACGGTCCCCACGAAAAAGCACCCACAACTTGTTCTCCGCGACCTGCTAGCAACTGGCGAACGACTTAACCAAGAAGGGCTAGGTATCAACGAAGGATTTGTTCTCCACCGCTTTGTGTCCGCCCTTTCGGATGAGTACGCTATGACGAAGCATGCCCTGCGACGCACGAAAAAGCTGACCAAGGAGCAAGTGATGAGGGAGATCGCAATCGGGTACAAAGCGATCCTGGACAAACAAAAGAAACGCAACGGCGCACGAGGCGCCGAAAGGGCCTCCATCGCCGACGGCGGCGGCCGGAAGGGGCAGTCGTCTAGCCGTGGCCGCGGTCGTGGCGGTCGAGGTCGTGGAGGCGGCGGCAACGGCGGGGGCGGCGGCGGCGTCGAGGGGAGCAATGAAGATGAAAGTGGAGGAGCAGGCGGCGGCGGCAGCGGCGGGGGCACAAGGTTTCCTGGCCGGTGCTACCGGTGCGGTCACGTCGGGCAACAGGTTGCTGACTGCACCACTGAGGAGAAGGGCTTCATTCCGCGTTGCGGGAAATGCGCAGGGTGGGGTCATAAGGAGGACAAATGCGCTACGGAGGAGGCTGTCCTGGCTCAAGTCGTGAGCTACGTGAGCGACGACGACTCCGCCCTTGACTAGGCATTCTGTCCCGTGGCACAACCCTCAGGCGAGTGTGGTATCGTTGATCTTGGTCTAGTGNTCGAGGTCGTGGAGGCGGCGGCAACGGCGGGGGCGGCGGCGGCGTCGAGGGGAGCAATGAAGATGAAAGTGGAGGAGCAGGCGGCGGCGGCAGCGGCGGGGGCACAAGGTTTCCTGGCCGGTGCTACCGGTGCGGTCACGTCGGGCAACAGGTTGCTGACTGCACCACTGAGGAGAAGGGCTTCATTCCGCGTTGCGGGAAATGCGCAGGGTGGGGTCATAAGGAGGACAAATGCGCTACGGAGGAGGCTGTCCTGGCTCAAGTCGTGAGCTACGTGAGCGACGACGACTCCGCCCTTGACTAGGCATTCTGTCCCGTGGCACAACCCTCAGGCGAGTGTGGTATCGTTGATCTTGGTCTAGTGGGGGTTGAGGAACTTGGCCAGGATGCCATGCAGTACGTGGCTGACACGGCAGCCACGTGCTCCATGTACCGATGTGCAAATGCCTTCGTGAACTACCGTGAGTGTAACGATTGAGTGCGGGCAATTGGTGGTGACATAGCCCATGTTCTCCTCCTAGGATACGGAGACGTGGTCGTAGTCCTCAAGTCGGAAGGTGGTTGGGTGCCTGTACCCATTCCGAATGCAGCTCATGTACCCGAAACCCCCTACAACCTCCTTTCTTGGCCGAGGAAGGCCACAAGTACTCGGGGCAGAAAGGGGGGCTCACGTTGACCACGAAGGCCGGGGGGGAAGTGTTTTCCCCCCAACGGGCAAGCTGCTCACTCAAGAAGGCTATCAAACACAGCCTACGGTAGACATCGCCTGTGCCGCAGTCATTGTTCCTGGCGATGCGAAAGCAGCCACCCCCACTGACATCAACGACTACCACAACTCTAACCTGCACGCCCACGAGAAACTGCTCAGAGACACGGCGAAGCAGCAGGGCGAGCAGCTGACGGGAGGACCGCTGCTACCATGCCTCGGTTGTTCGATGTCCAAGGGACAGGTGAAACCCGTCAGCACGAGCACATCCACGCGCGCAGTTAAGTAGCTGTTTCGCATATTCCTCGACCTAGGGGGGAAATGAAGATCGCAAGCATCGGGGGCAACCTATACACCCTCACAACCGTGTGCGATCACACGCGTTGGACGCGCGTATTCATTCTGAAGCGAAAATCTGACGCAGCCGAGAAAAATAAGCATTTCTTGGCAGACTACCGAGCAGCGGGGGTTCCGTGTGAAGTTTACGTCGCATGGACTGACGGTGGTGGCGAGTTTCAAGGGGCGTTCGCGGATGTTTGCCGTAAATACAGCAACAAGCAAGAGTTTACCCCTCCTGACACGGCCAAGTACAACGGTGTAGCTGAGAGAGCGTTGGGGGTGATCACTGATGCCGCGCTCGCCGCGCGTATCCAAGCTACGGCACTCTTCCCCGATGCGCCCAATACCCCCAAGTTATGGGCTGAAGCCATCTCTTGCGCGTGCCACCAAAGAAACTGCACCGTCACCATGGGCAACCCTGGCCACAAAACCCCCTAAGAGATGTTTCACGGCACGCCGCCGCCGGTCGGGTCAACGTACCCGTTCCTCAAACCAGCCGTCTTCAAATCAAGAAGAGAGGCAAAGTCGCAACCCAAGGGACAGAAAGGATGGTACCTTGGACCAGCCCACAACCACTCCCGTGATTGCGTTCGCATGCTAACCGAAGCTGCTAATCGTCACCCTAAATTTCACCTGGCGCCACGTGCCCGCTGCTTCGGACGGCCCCCTGCAGCCAGTGGCTCTCGCAGATGATGAGGAGGGCGGGGAGGGCGAGAGCAATGAGGGCGCGTCACGTCAAGGTGGAGGGGGGGGGAAAGACTCGAGGAGTGAGTCCGACCTCGACGTAGACGACGCTCGTGGGCTGGGGTAAGCGACTCCGCTCGTGCGCATGGGGGCGCCTGCGGCACCCGGAAATGGGATGCAGGGGGACGAAGGCGGAGGTCCCCCGTCGCCTCTTCGGGAGGGGGTGACTTCGGCGGTGGCGATGACCCCGCAGACAACAGCAGCAACAGCAACGACAGAAGTGGCCCCAGCGACGTCTCCAACAACCACGACGGAGGCGGCAGCGAGCCACTCAGCGGCGACTCTGGTGATGAGAGCAGCGGCGGGAGCGAGCCCGTCAGCAGCACATCTGGCCACGACGGCAGTAATGACGACTGTGACGGCAGCGAGGTCGTCGACCCCGGCAGCGATGACGATGGCGGCGGCGAGACAGGCGACCCTGGTCGAAACGACATGACGAGCCCACGGTGAACAAGCCAGTGGGGAGGCACTCGGGTGCCTCATGTGGGTGGTGCATACGAGGCCGGACATCGCTCTGCCGTTGAACAAGATCCAGAAGGTGGCTCACTCTCCCACCGACAGGATATGGCAGGCGCTTCTGAGGGTCATGTCTTACCTCAACGCCACGAAGGACCTGATCCTCACCAATGTCCGGGGGTCAGGTCTATGATCTAGGAGCAGAGTATCTAGCAGCCGGGGAGGGAGTGAAGGAGGCGTTGCATGTGCGTGCGGTTCTGTCATTCGTAGCGCCTGACGAGTGGGGCGAAGATCAAGGTCCTTGAAGACAACAAGGGAGCTCTTGCGCTGGTGCAGAACCCCTTCAGCTCGGCGAGGAGCAAGCACGTCGACGTGCGGTACCACTTTATCCGCGAGCTCTTCCAAGTCAGGGAAGATCACCGAAGAGTATGTCCCGACGGAAGAGCAGCACGCCAACATGCTGACCAAGGTCCTTGGTAAGACCAAACTGGAGTACCACCGGAAAGCCCTGATGAACCTCCCGGAGTAGTCCTGGCTTCTGTGTTTTAGCACTGAGCATCTCGAATGTTCTGATTTCTGTGTTGTATTTTGCACTGGGCATCTATGGCCATGGTTTGTCATGCAGGAAGCATTGGTCGGCGCGTCACATGACCGGTCCAATTTGTCCTGCCATTTGGTCTTTGTCTTGCAAGTGCGGCCGTTGAAATCCTCCGTGATAGCAACGGTTTCTATATTTGGGTACGCGAGGGTTTTTGATCCGGATGGCCGGATTTTCCTCCGCACCGTTGTGGATTTGAGTCTTTCAGGTAGATCTGGGGTATCCATGCCCCACTGGTGATTCGCCACTTGCGTGACGAACCAGGGAGGGTGTTCGTGTGTTTGGATACGGACTGGTAGATCTGCCGACAACAACGGGAACACGCAGATAGGGGCATAGGTATACCATGACGGTTACTATGCGGTGGAACCTATGCGGTGGAACCTCTCGAGCTCTCTCAAGCTTATCGGGACCTCACTCTTCCTCCGCTCCACTTTCGCGTGCGTAATACAAAAGATAAAACAAATCTCCCCCTTCCAAGTAAAGGACATACAACATACGAATACATGGAACATAGGTAAGTCATCACGGCGCTGGCAAGCGTAGAGACAAATTCATTGGGAGTACAATGCGGCCGCAGTGATTTAGAGTGGCACACTTTTCAACGTATTTTTCGTAAAACTACAACCATCCAGGGTCACACAGGAGGGGAAGCGAAAATCTGTGGTTGCCAAAAGTAAGAACGCACGCGGGCGGTTGCCAAGCCTCTCCGAGGGCTTTTCGTGCCCGGCAAATGCTTTATGCACCAGCCGGGGCCATAAGCGAGGAATCGTTCACATTTCCTCCTGCGGTGCCTTCCTTTCAACAAATAACGCGAAGTGGGTGCCACAGTCCCTTCTCGGTGTACTCCCAAATCGACGCTGTTCATTCAGAACTCGTGGATATTTTAGGCATAAAAAAAAATCAACAATGGGAAGGAATCCCAAAATGGTGTGGTACACAACATAGTGAATTTAGCACTGTGGTTATGTCGAGAACGCTGCAGATCCTAACCCCGGCATGCACTACAAACGTGATCGTTCAGACAAAAACCAAGCGTTCCTGCCTCCCTTAAAACCCATACAAGACATGCTACAATGTACGATATGATGTACCGTAACCACCTTTCACCAAAGTACACTACCAAATCTTAGTTCAAACAGCATATATTCGCCATCTGCGGCAATCGACTGTGACCTCTACACTTGCGGCCTACATGAGTGCCACATAAAGTACTCGCGGTATACAACGATGTTCTTTCTGGTACCGAACATTATAAAAGCTGAGCTTATGCGGCGGGATGTTGCAACCTACGTGAGTTCCACAGAGAGCTCGCGGGAACAGCGGTGACTTGATATACAGAATATATTAAACAAACAGCTGAGTTTATTCGGGACGATGCTATTCACGTCGCGTCAGGTACGAATCTATACTACAAGATACACGAGCGCCGAGCGGTGTGTCTGCAGCGCAACCAAGCGCGGGTTTGCTCAACCGCTATGCGCCAAGGACACTGGGCGTGCAAATTAAAAGACGGAACCAACTGCCAATTTCGGGACTAACAATGAACATCAACTCCGCACGCCAGCTTCGCACAAAAACACCCGCTACCCTAAAAAAGACCACCACCGTTCTGAAACACAACGATTGCGGATACCTTGTACCAGATGGACAATTGTACGGCCCTGGTGTGGCCTTAAAATACTGTTTCATTGCCCTCATGACTGGATGGATCACTGTCTTGCCCAGCCGGATCCCTAATACGGAAGCAATATCGCCGAAGCCGCTTCTAGTAGGCTAGAAGGTGAAGAGAAAGTATTGAGGGAGAGAACTAACCTCCTTCGACGTCTGGTTTTCATTCGATGGTTGTACCAAAGAACAGGCCGCCCCGACAACCACGACAACCGAAAGGCTTAAGCTTCAGATTAGGCTTCAGAAGAAGACGATCACGACGGTGATGTTGTCCGTGCTGGAAAAACGACGCCGGAGCCCACGAAACATGACAGCGAAACAGGACAACGGGAGGTAATCGCAAAAATATTGGATTGATTTCAACGACGATATCATGAGCAAGGGAAGCCGCACTAGAACCAGCGACGGCACTAACACAACCCCGAAGCACAATTCAGCAACAGCAACGGCACACCAGACGCGAGCGTGGTTGTCAAGTACGATGTTTGGCTTCGTTTCGTCCATTGTTATTTTTGTTACTTGTCATTTTGGTCCAAATGTCACTCCTTGGCCACGGGATCAAAAAAACAAATCAAAGAGGTAATTCATTAACCGCGCGCGGCTTGTCCATTCTTTCTCCATCTTCACGCCTGATGGAAGGAACCGCGCTCGCACCACCCCCGAAAATGTTTGTACCCTGTACGCCCAACATCAGAGACGACGACGACGCCCAAAATCAAAAATCAGCGCAGTCATCACTGCTTTTCCTTTTTTCTCCATCGGCTCACCTTCCTCTTGCTAGGGATTCACGTAGCAGCTCGCCTGCCACGTCCGCCTCGGCCTGAACAAAAGAACAAAAAAAGCGACAAACCAAAGTCAATATTGATAGTCTGATCTTGCATCAAAAGCACACGATACTGTTGCCAAGAAACGCCATCCAGCCGCCTTGTTCCCTGTTCCGGAGCTTGTTAGAAAAAAAAAATCTGGCGGCGTTGGCGACGAAAGCGAGACACCTAGGAGACGGAGAAACACGACGCGTAAATATATTATATTGATACAGAATCAACCAGACAATACCGTAAGAATCGGGGTCTTCGCACACTGTGCGGTAACCGTTTTTAATGTCTTCGTTCTTCGCACAGGGGTGCGGAGCCGCCGATATGTGCGGAGACCCCGATACATGTGCGGAAATCGAATTAAATTATTTGGTTGTACAGTATTATCGCACACCCCGTGCGATGACGCCGATATATGCGGTATTGAATAAAATTGAAGGGGGGTAAGGCGGGGTGCTTTGAACGCACACCCTGTGCGAAGGCTCCGATATGTGCGCTCCAAATGAAATCACAGCGGACATTGCAGTACTCCACGTGAAAGGTAGTCCTGCATGATCCGTCAAAACACAGGAAAAAAGCACGCACACACACACGTCGCACACTGTGTTACCAAGCGGCCTCGTCACGACCCTCACGGGCGGGCAGGCTAAGAATACATAGGTGGCTCCATCCATCTCACAGCCTACATCTGGCAGACAGTGCCTTCGACGGCGGTGGTATCTCCTTCTCTCACGGAATCACAAATCTTTGTTTGGACAACGGATGGGTACAACCTGGACTTCCTGCTACTACTACACAGTACAGCAGTGCTACTGCGGCGGCTGCGGATACTGGATTCCTGAACGTGTTCACCTGAAGGAAAGCCAAGAGAGCCTGCGAGCAGGACTTGGCTCCCTCGTGACTTCCAAGTGGCTTGCTAGGTTCGGACGAGGGCATGTGTGGAGCTATGGCAGTGTATGTGTTGCTATATTGTTTGAGTCATCTAGCTGCTGACACGATGACTGTTGGATCTTGGGAGTGTACGATTACCAATTTGGGAGATGCAGCATACCACGATATCCTGGCTTCGGCTGGGCTTGAAATAACCCTTTTGCTGTCCTCCGCTCTTTGCATCAGTGGCTTCCTAGGTTCGGACGAGGGCATGTGTGGAGCTATGGCCGTGTTTGTATTGCTATTTTGTTTGAGTAATCTAGCTGCTGACACGATGACTGTTGGATCTTGGGAGTGTACGATTATCAAATTGGGAGATGCAGCATACCACGATATCCTGGCTTCGGCTGGGCTTGAAATAACCCTTTTGCTGTCCTCCGCTCTTTGCATCAGTGGCTTCCTAGGTTCGGACGAGGGCATGTGTGGAGCTATGGCCGTGTATGTGTTGCTATTTTGTTTGAGTCATCTAGCTGCTGACACGATGACTGTTGGATCTTGGGAGTGTACGATCATCAAATTGGGAGATGCAGCATACCACGATATCCTGGCTTCGGCTGGGCTTGAAATAACCCTTTTGCTGTCCTCCGCTCTTTGCATCAGTGGCTTCCTAGGTTCGGGCGAGGGCATGTGTGTAGCTGAGATGTGTGTCTTCGTGAAAGAACATGCAGAGAGAGTCGTATTGGCATTCGCATCAAGCGCATTGCGCATCTTTCGAATTTTGGCCTCCTTCCAGGGACCATGATTTTTACCCGCTGGCACTGACGTCTTTCAATTGGTCAGCCGGTTAGCGCGGTCGATGCTAATAATAAAAACCACACACATACCCGGCAAAAAAAAAAAAAGAGACGCGGCGAAATACCTAGCGACGGTTTCCTTTTTTTCCAATTCCCCCGCACCCAAGGGTCGTGTCCCGTTTGTACCTCGTACACACGCAACACGTTAGCTACGATGTCGGAGGAAGCGAGCGCGGGCTCTGCCTCCGCGTCACAGGCCTCACAGGCCTCAAAGGCCTCACAGGCCAGTGCTGGTGGTTCTTCCTCGGTAGACCAGGGACCTGCCGCTACCGACCCGAAGGCTTCAGGAGAGGCTATCGACGAGATGCTGGCCGCAAATGACCCCGACAGCAAGAAACGCAAGTACCCAGAGCCCGGCTTCCCAACTGAAAGGTCAGGAGCAGTACTACCCGGTCGGGTTCAAACTCAAAGCGGTCGCATTCACACGCGTCGTCTGCGAGGACGGAAAACCGGTGGGAAACAGCGGTGCAGCGAAAGTTCTCGACGTGCCCCGCAGGCGTATCGTCGAGTGGGTGCGCGACGAGGAATCGCTCAGAGCCAACGTCAGCGACAACCCCAAGCTGTCTTAAGGCCAAGCGAATTCACGCTGGAGGCAAAGCTTCGACAGCCGACATCGAAGAAGCCCTGGTGGAATTCATCAACGATCAGCGCAAGCATCACGTCGGCTGTGGTAGCATGGCGGTCATGAACAAGCTGCTTGAGTTGAAGCCGGATGCCCTTGGCGGGCTGACAGCCAAGCCGAAGCCGGAGGAGGCGTTGGCTTTCAAGTCCAAATTCAAGAGCTGGTACCAACGTTTCCGCAAACGGAACAAGTTCAGCATCCGCCGGCGTACAAGCGTGGGCCAAAAGCTACCGAAGGGACACGAGGGCATGGCGTGGGCGACGTTGATGAAGCTGCGTAAGGCTCTCCTGGAGCGTGCTGGCGAGATCTACGCTCAGCGCTACCCGCCTGCACCTGGCGAGAGCCCCATCAGAGGGGAGGACCTGAGTTCATCGCAGCTGGAGTTGGTGACCGACGAATTGTTCGAAGAACTGGGCAACATGGACCAGACGCCAGTCCAGCACGAGATGCCGGTGGAGACGACTCTGGAAAAGACCGGTGCGAAGGATGCCCGCATCGCCACCGGAGGTGAGAGTATGACTGCTGTGTTCAGTGTTTTCCTAACTTTTGCCATGAAGTGTCGTGCGTATTTGCGGTCGGCCGGATATTTGTTCTGGTCGTGATATTATTCACATGTTCTTGGAAACGTAATTCTACCGTTTGCATCCATTTCAGCCGGCGTCTGTTGCATTCGCACAATTTTGAAACCTCTCCCCTACCCCCCAACATCGTGTATCCCCCCCCCCCCACCAGGAAAAGAGAAGGAACGCTTCACGCTCTGCCTGGCTGTCTCGGCGGATGGCAAGAAGGTCCCGCTGCGCATCATCTTCAAGGGTACGCCTTTCGTCCCGCCTGCCACGCCCGGGAAGGGAAAGGCGACTCAGCCGCGGAAGAACTCTATCGCGTGGGAGGTACTTCCTGCGAACCGCTCCAAGCACGGGCTCCCCGTGGGAGGCATGTCCTTCGGGGTGCAGGAGAGGAGCTGGTGTGACCTGCGGGAGTGCAAGCGCTGGATGAAGGACAGCTGGAAGCTCCGTCCAAACAACGGCAGCATCGTCCGGCAGCGCCGATGCATCTTGGTGCTGGACGACTTCAAGTGCCACAAAGACGATGGCTTCATCGCGGCCCTCAAGAGGGAAGCCAACACCATCGTCATCTTCATCCCAGGCGGGTTGACTCCTCTCCTCCAACCGCTGGATCGCATGCTCAACAAGCAGATGAAGCGGCTGCTGCGGGGCATGTACACGGCACACACGGCAAAGGCGGCCAGGGACCCCAAGACGGGCAAGCTGGCACCGCCGGGGCGTGGGGCCGTCGCTACTTGGTGCAAGAACGCGTGGGCATCCATCACCCCCGAGACAGTCAAGACTTGCTTCAAGATGTGCGGCCTCACGCTCGCGCTCGACGGCAGCGAAGACCACGCCTGGTGCCTGCACAACTTCGGGGACGGCTACCGCGAGGTCCTGGAGCAGCACGTCGAATGGCTTGCGGAACACCCCAACGTGACTCTGCCTCCGCTCCAACTTCCGAAGGTACCAGCCGAATCAACCGCCAATCACCTCGAGGCTGCAGCAAAGGAGCTCGGGGCGGGGCTTTTGCCTCGCGGCGACGACAGCGACATCGAGATTGAGGATGACGACAGCGATGTAGAAGTCGTGGAAGGGGCGGGGGATGAAGAAGTGATCGAGCTGTAAAATACCGCCNGGCTTTTGCCTCGCGGCGACGACAGCGACATCGAGATTGAGGATGACGACAGCGATGTAGAAGTCGTGGAAGGGGCGGGGGATGAAGAAGTGATCGAGCTGAAAAATACCGCCGCTACGTGGGAGTACCAGTACAGTAGAGGTTTGGGTTGCAACATGTTCGTAGGAGACTCGCGCTAGAACTCTGTGATGCAGAGGACAGCGGCTTCTAGAGAGGGGTTTTTGTTTGGTGCTACATACGAACGTGGAACAATATTTGCAACGCGGTCCACGAGCATGTGCCAGTTAAGATTCCCAGAAAATTTTTGTGGAGATCGCTACTTTCTGCCGGTTTTTCGCACGAGTCCTAGGTGGTAGTTTGTTGCGGTGGTTTCGATGAAAAAAAAAAAAAAATGATCACACGCTGAAAAACAAATATATTTGCAAGTCCAGCGGGTACCGGATTACAAAAAAGGTTATTGCGCAGAGGTAAATGAGCACCGCACGGCGCCGAAGTTGATTCTTCCTCAAACAAGCCCCTACTTGTTTAGCGCACAACAAGACTGGACACCGCTCTTGGAAGCGCCCAACCTCATTGCTGGGATCGGGGTCTCCGCACAGTGTGCGTAGACCCCGATCCCTGTGCGATAATCGAATTAAATCATGTGGAACCCGGTTTTTGTTCCGCACCTCTGTGCCATGACCCCGACCCGTGCGGAGACGCCGATCCGTGCGAAGACCCCGGTTCTTACGGTAGTACCAAAATTCTCACATGTCTACTCGTTCGCCGTTCGATCTCTTTGCAAGAGGTCTTTGTTACTTTGGGTCGAAAAATAAAAAAATAGACGACACTTGTTGCTGCCAATTGAAAAATAAACTACCTTATTTCATACGGTCAAAATATCATCATGGAATCAAACGGTGTATTCCGCGAAGAACTCTCAGATATCCTGCTCCACCTCTCGCATTAATGGCGATCCTGAATTTGCATGGCGTCTACTATAACGTTTCGATTGTTGAGCGGTTGGGGCACTCTTCTCTGCGAAGGTGTAGCTTTGTCTCCAAGTGCTGGAGCGTGCTTCCAGAATTCAATTTCCGTGAAAAATATGGAGGTAGGTCCATGAGCATTACTGGTGTCTATTTTTTATCTTGCGGGGTGTAAAAATACTTGAGTCTCGAGCTGCTTTCGGTGGCTTCTTCATACTCCTGCAGGCCGACTCCGATCGCCAAAGTGGCGGTCTCCAGTTGTGCATAGCGGCAAGTCGTTTAATACCTATGAAGCCAAGGACATTGTAGTTTTGGGTCGATATGGTCCACTGTGCGAAGGCGAAACTTGGGTCTAAAATTTGCCTCCTGAGAGCTGAAAAGACGTCTGCTGCAAGAGGGAAAAGGACTACGATGTGATGGTGCAGCATTGCTCCCGTTCAGAGCAAAACAAGAGGGAATAAACAGCTTCCGGTGGAGGGTATGACCAGCTTCAGGCGCCTACCTATTTTGGTCGGACGCCAACGTCTGTGTGAGAAGCACGAGGTGGTGAAAGAATGGGCTCAGCCACGCCGTAGCTGGTAGGGGAGGGGGGGAGTTCCAAACTTGTCCCTGCTGAAACCAGGGGCGAGTATGATTTACGGGATTTTTTCGTTTTCCAAATCTAGGACTGCAACACGTGTGAGACATGTCTTTACCAGGATTATCTTCTACAATTCCGGAGGAGATCTCCAATTTCCGACGAGCACATGGACAAAAAGCGTGGCAAATGCTCCACTGCCAAGTCAGCGTGCCCGAGTGGTTAAGGGGATGGATTCGAAACCCATTGTGATTTCACGCGCAGGTTCAAATCCTGCCGCTGACGTGCTGCAGCATATCTTCATCTTTTTTTTCCGGTCACCCGATGATTCGTGAAGTCAATCGGTTGGTTTACATCTAGCAAAGGGAAGATGAAACGGGACAATTTTGCTCGGAGAAACAAAAAAACGGCGGCCTCTGTAATCTTTCGTTCTCAAAACCACGATACTGTACAATGAAAGCCTCGATACAGGTGCGTGAATATCTCTCGACATCGTTTCCATATCATAAAAAATAGGTGCACCGCACGGTCAGTACAAATGCCGTTCAAAGCCAGCCTCACACGCGCCATCACGGCACGGCGATAGTCAATGATGACGGCGACAACTTGTAGTTTTTGCCGTGGCTCGTTTGCCCCGTCCGTGAGTTTTTTCCTGCTCACTTGAAATGCCCGCAGTTACGACAAATGCGGGGACGTGCGCATATCTGATCGCGTTCGTTGGTTGCCTCGAAAAGGCGAGTGTCCTACTCTCTTGACCCTTCACATCTTGTGCCTCTCAATTCTTCGCTTGCATTGTACATCCCACGCCGCCGGAAACCACGTCGAATCGCCGAAAACACACCGCCGAAACCGTCGGTGACTGCTGTGTTTTCTTTTCTCACAAAATACAATGATGATCATCTTATCTCCCTACGAGAGCCCGGAGAAACTGGCCATGAGTTGTAAGCGTCACAGCAACAACACCGTGTTTCGCACACACCGTTACGTGAATCGAACGGATCGCTGTCGTTGCCGATCGATTTGAATGACTGGCACAAAGTCAAAACACAGCCCCTTCTCTCACCACGGTCTCCATCGCTTGGGTAAGATGCGAAATACAATGGAAACCAACTATGGTGCACGAAAATCACAGAAGTCTGGTCACACACCCTTCCTCTCACCATATTCTCCATCGCCTGCGTGACGAAGGAAACGGCGTCGTTGTCCGTGAAGACGTCCCAAACCCCATCGCACGCCAGGATCAGGAACGTGCAGTCCGGACAAACGCTGCGGGCGCACAAAATCGAAACAGAGAAGGGGCCCCCCCAGAACAAAGAACCGATCGATGGTACCACGGGACCGCGAAAAAGACAGCAACAAAAAAATCAGCGCAAGTATAATATGGCATCACACAACGGGAGGGGCGACAAAACTAAAATATTTACATATGGAAAGCACTTGCGCAACCTCCTTCCTGCGTACCGCCACCTGATACATCAATAAAAGTACACACGCCGAAAGGTGAGTACACCGGCGCCAGAATTAGAAGGGAGGAACACCCACTCCGTTTGAAACTGGCTTCAGTTTCTTCGCGCACGGCCTGTGTGCGATGGTGATCGAAACACGCAAGTCTTGCCCGGTGGCCCCCACAACGTGAATATGATTGCCGACAACGTTACGCGACTCTTCGCGTAGTGGGGATCACACGCGCGGATTCCCCAATTTTGTTCATTTTCGCGAAACTTCCGTCAGTTTTTGGAATACCGTGCGTGCGGCGACGGTAAAACCTCGGCCAGCAAACAAACGACAGCTTCGCTCCCGACAAAATCAGACACTCACATCGTTAACGAAACCAATCACTCGCCGAGAAGTGACGGTGTTTTCTCCGCATATTCCGCGTCAAGTTTGTAGCGGGTGTCAGCTTTTTGCTTAACCGTACGCCCACGCCTTCGCGCGAAAACGCCGGCAAAAAAATCAGTGAAACGTGATACCTTGAACAGAACAGAACTGCAGGAAAACCGTACAAGCCGCCTGGGCCACGAACCAGCAGCACGCCACGCGTCTGTTCGGACCCGACCCACGTAAGCGCCGAAGAAACAAATGAAAAGGCTTGCGCTGACGCCATGATTTCAGTGCTAATCTATCCCAGAAACTTAAACTGTGGAGGGGATAGATTTGCTGCGTAAGGCTTCCGCTGACGCAATGAAATCATTGCCAACCTGTCCCAGACTCCATTAACGGTTGAAGAGATGAATATGCTATGCAATAACAGGCTTCCGCTGACGCCATGAATTCAACGCTAACCTATCCCGGACAATGAACTCATTGCTAAATCTACCCATTACTCTTTATCTGCGGAGGAGATAAATTTGTTGTAAAACAACCAAAAAAAAAATGCGCGTCCACCTTGTCTCGGAGACGTGGGGCACAGCAGTCACGAGATCCTTCATCCCCTGGTTCCCGAAGCTTCTGGAGACCGCCAGGATGCCCAGGACGCGATTCCTCAGCACGAAGCCACCCGCGGCGTTGACCCTCTCCTGCTCCGCCGCGTCCTCCGCCTTGTGGTCGTAGGTTAACCGCTCCGCCTTGCCACCTCTGGCCAGCACCGCTCGACTGGTGTGGAAGCGTGACGTTCATCATTCGTGAGAGAGACAAGGAATGGAAGGTGAGAAGTTCATCCGCATCGCAGCGCCCACAGTCCTCGAGCGACAAGAGAAAAGGGATGGAACTTCAGCAGTTCATCTGCATCGCAGCGCCCACCGTCTTCGAGCGCCCCCCACACACACCGCTCCTCTGAGCAGTCGGTACTCGGCGGGCAAGGGAGACAGGAGAGGGCTCCAGGAGAAGCGCAAAGTGAGGTCTACATCTGACCTTCGCCACGCATTGACAACTACGTAAGGTCTCGATTTTCGCGAGAAGCTCTGCGGTGCTTTGAAGGGACACGCATGGGAATTTTCGTGTTATTCTGAGAGCTGCACAGCCTAGCAGAGACAAGTGAAACGACACCCAGGCGGCGGGTGGTCGCCTGCGCCAGACGAGAACGAAAACACCACGGTCGAAAAGTATTGCAAACGTGCTACGTACGACACGTAGATCAGTCAATTAACCAAGCCCAAAAGCCGAACCACGGACAGCCGGACGTAGCTTGGACAAACATTTCCATAATACGAACCATGTCCATAACCAATATGGAAAGAAACCATAAGTTTTGTGAAAAGAAAGCACACACGAACACACAAAATGCTGCGTACTTTCGGAGTAGATGGCAGGGGCCGTTTGCAACACCTCATTTTCGTCTTGATATTGGGTTACCCTGGGAAAATGAAACGAAGCGGCCTTCCAAACCCAGTGTCGGCAATGTCTCGATGGGTATGGTTTCGTTTGAAAAGTAGAACAAATCTACCCGGCAGTTCCAACAGCTGCACAACATCCGTTCAATACTGGTGTGACAAAGAGCGATCCTCCCAAAAAAAACGACGGAACCAAGAGCAAAGGGAACACTGACACGAGGAGTGCCTGCGGGACACGAGCGCAGGCAAATATCGGCAGATTTCCCGCCTTCCTGGGGAAACGTTCCTTCAATTGGAACGCCCAAAACAGGGGAGATGGGGGGGGGGG